AACCTGGAAGGTTGACAAGAAAGGTCTGTTGCGTTGGGCTGAGAGAGAAGCGTAGTTCAGTGTGGACCATGCCAACCAAGAAGGGAGCAGGTCTCAGGGGACTGAATCAAGGGGAGCTGCGGTGGTTTCCAGACTTCTCAACCCACAAACACCAAAGATAACTCAGAAGGTCAGTGAGAAAGGTCTGCAGAACCTGGGTAGAGGAACGGTCCAACACTGGCCTTAGTGCAGCCCCGGGGTGGCAGTCACATTGGTAGCAGATGCTTCTGGAGTTCTTGGTCCACAGACAGTGGGGGGATCAAGTAGGTGATCAGAGGAGGATTGCAGGGATCTCTTTGCTGGCACTGAGGTAGGATTCTCTTGTTTTGCCTGTGCCTGGATCTGGGTCACAGTCCTGGGAGGCGGTTGTGGGGCAAGGAGGAGAGCTGGTGTGTCAAAACTTGTGGCAGCAGTAGAGAGGGAATCCTCCTCACAGTTCCAAGGCAGAAAAGAGTGCTTGTGGTCACTCAAAGACCAGAGCACAGGCCAGATGAGGAATAAACACCTCTCCTTTGATCATACCACCTTGGAGGAGCTGAAAACTTACAGGTCCCTAGAAGTACCTCTAAAACCCCTGAAGCTTGGGACAGTACACCCTCCACACTGGAAGCAGACCTTAACAAAGAGTTTAAAAGTCAAGTAATTGGCTGAGAACATGAACAAACAGTGTAAAAAAAACTCAGACTATAGAATCTTCCTTTGGTGACAAGGAAGATCAAAACATACAACTAGAAGAAGACAACAAAGTTAAAGCTCCTACATCCAAAGCCTCCAAGAAAAATATGAATCAGTCCCAGGCCTTGAAGAGCTCAGATGGGATTTTGAGAAGCAAATAAGAGAAGTAGAGGAAAAATTGGGAAGAGAAATGAGAGAAATGCAAGAAAATCATGAAAAACATGAAAAACACGTCAACAGCTTGCTAAAGGAGATCCAAAAAAATACTGAAGAAAATAACACCTTAAAAAATAGATTAATCCAAATGGCAAAAGAGGTCCAAAAAACCAATGAGAAGAATTCCTTAAAAAGTAGAATTGACCAAATGGAAAATGAAGTTCAAAAGCTCACTGAAGAAAATAATTCCTTAAAAATTAGAATGGAGCAAATGGAAGCTAATGACTCTTTGAGAAATCAAGAAATTATAAAACAAAACCAAAAGAATGAAAAAATAGAAGACAATGTGAAATATCTCACTGGAAAAACAACTGACCTGGAAAATAGGTTCAGGAGTGGTAATTTAAAAATTATTGGACCATCTGAAAACCATGACCGAAAAAAAAAAAAAGCCTAGACATCATCTTTCAAGAAAATTATCAAGGAAAACTGTCCTCATATTTTAGAACCAGAGGGCAAAATAGAAATTGAAAGAATCCACTGATCACCGCCTCAAAGAGATACCCAAAAGAAAACTCTTAGGAATATTGTAGCCAAATTCCAGAGTTCCCAGGTCAAGGAGAAAATATTGCAAGCAATCAGAAAGAAATAATTCAAGTATTGTGGAAACACAATCAGGATAACACAAAATTTATCAGCTTCTACATTAAGGGATCAAAGGGCTCGTCATACGATATTCTGGAGGTCAAAGGAGCTAGGATTAAAACTAAGAAATCACCTACCCAGCAAAACTGAGTATAATCTTTTGGGGGGAGAAACGGATATTCAATGAAACAGAGGACTTTCAAGCATTCTTGATGAAAAGATCAGAGCTGAATAGAAAATTTGACTTTTAAATATAAGACTGAAGAGAAGCATGAGAAGGTAAACCAGAAAGAGAAATCATAAGGGACTTATCAAAGTTGAACTGTTTACATTCCTGCATGGAAAGATGATATTTGTAACTCATTAGACTTTTCTCAGTATTAGGGTAGTTGGAGGGAATATATGTATATGTGTGTATGTATATATATAAATATAAAATTAGATAAATGTATTCTATATATTATATATATAAAATGCCATAAATAAATAAACAAAATAAATGTACAGAAGAAAAAAAGACAAAAAAATGGTAGGGACTTAAGAGAAGTAGAAGAGATTAAGAAGAGGTGGCAAGAATATATAGAAGAACTATATAAGAAAGATCTTAACATCATCAATAACCATGGTGTGGTAACTGATTCAGAGCCAAACATCCTAGAGAATCCTAGAGAGAGTCAGGTGGGCTTTAGGAAGCACTGCTAAGGACAAGGCTAATGGAGGTGATGGAATTCCAGGTGAGCTATTTAAAAACCTAAAAGATGAGGCTATTAAAGTCCTACACTCAATATAAAAACAGCAAATTTGGAAAACAAAACAGTGGCCACTGAATTGGAAAAGATTAATTTATGTCCCAATCTTAAAGAAGGGCAATGCCAAGGAATGTTCAAATTACTGAATAACTGTGCTCATTTCACATGCCAGCAAGGTTATGCTTAAGATTCTGCAAGCTAGGGTTCAGCAATATGTGAACTGAGAATTACCCAAAAAGTGGACTGGTCAAAGAGGCAGAGGAAATAGAGATCACATTGCTAACCTTTGCTGGATTATGGAGAAAGCAAGGCAGTTCTAGAAAAAAAAAATCTATTTCTGCTTCATTGACTATACTAAAGCCTTTGTGTGGATCATAACAAATTGGGGCAAATCTTCAAAGAAATGGGAGTACCAGATCACCTTACTTGCCTCCTGAGGAACTTGTATCTGCACCAAGAAGAACAATTAGACATAGAACAACTGATTGGTTTAAGATTGGGAAAGGAATACAAGAAGGCTACTATACATTGTCACCTTATTTACTTATATGCAGAGTACATTATGTGAAAGCCAGAATTAAGGAGAAATATCGACAATCTCAGATATGCAGATGATACCACTCTGATGGCAGAAAGTAAAGAGGAATTAAGAAGCCTTTCGATGAGGCAAATGTAAAAGCTCGTTTGAAGCTTAACATAAAAAACCCAAGTTCTTAGCACTGGTCCCATCACTTCCTGGCAAAGAAAGGGAGAAGAAATGGAAGCACTGTCAGATTTTATATTCCTGGGCTCATAGATCATGGCAGACAGTGGCTGCAGTTATTAAATTAAAAGATGCTGCTCCATGGAAGGAAAGCTATGGCAAATCCAGACAGCATACTAAAAAGCAGAGGTATCACCTTGCCAACAAAGGTCCATATAGTCAAAGCTATGGTTTTTCCATTAGCATTGTATGGAAATGCTGGATGCTGCAGAATCGATACTTTTGAATTGTGGTGCTAGAGAAGACTTTTAGGAGTCCCTTGGACAGCAAGGAGATCAAATCAGTTGATACTTAAATTAATTCAGGTTATTACACTGGAAGGTCAAATACTTAGATACTCTGGCCAAATAATGAGAAGATGGATTTTATTGGAAAGGAACCTGATGTTGGGAAAGATTGAAGGCAAAAGGAAAAGGGGTAGCAGAGGATAAGATGGACACATAGTGTCATGGAAGCATCAAACATGAACTTGGACAGACTTTGAGAGATAATAGAGGATAGAAACCTGATGTACTATGGTTCATGGGGTCATGAAGAGTCAGACACGACCAAATGAACAATAAATGATAACATTAATTCTAATACTTTCCGTTCTTTTTTGTTAAATGTCCACCCAGATATTCAAAAAGGGTTTTTAAAGAAACACTTTAAAAATTCCCTTTTGTCCATCTCTGAATGTTTGCTTGTACAGTTTTCAATCTATTTCTGTCTAATGTGATGGATGGAGTTTAGCTATTTGGTTATTAGGCTTTTAAGGAGTGAGGGGAAAACACATTTACATACCTACATCGATTTCACGGGCTTTCTTTCTTTCCTTCTTTCTTTCTTACTGACTTACTGCCTTTACTGGCTCGCTTATATGTCTACCTTTTCTTGTTGTTATTCCACACTTTTCTCTGAAACAAAATTCTTCTTTATTTCATGTGTGTCCTGAGCTATCATTTTCATGTTTTGCCAAATATATCACAAATTGTCACAAAGTAGGGCAAATGTTTGTAGTTACCACTACCATGATAATGGTAATTTTTGAAAGACGTTAACTAAAACTTCCATGTTTAGGTCACATCAGTGAGGCTTTAAAGGGCAAACGAATGCTTGTACAGCAGATCTGACACTGAAACATCTAGTACATACCAGATGAATAAATGAAGCCTTAGCTTTTCTAGTTACTTGGAAGCTTTCCCATCTGGTTGCTCCACACAAACTGCTTTATATTAGCTATGTCTAGACTGTAAGAGTTATACACAAATATTCTACTGTGTTGGGCACGTGACGATTAGCCAAAGGACTTTCAATATTCAAAATCTAAAAAAGTAATAGCATCATCTGTAATAGAAACAACTGCCCAACAAAGAGTGGGATACCCAACCTTAACATAAGAAGCAACCAGTTGATTGCTTTTCATCTTTTGGAATAGGAAGATAACTAGGAAGCCAAAGGTAAAACAGTGCCAAATTCCTAACTTCTATCTCCACCTGCTGGAAGATAGGAAGCATAAGCCAAGTGAGTGTGTGTGTATATGTGCACGCAAGTGCTATTGTACAGAAAAAACACATTTTCTGATAATTACTACCCCATTCTTATTTCTAAAACCAAATTTATTTATCTATGTGACAAGAATGAATGTAAAAAAGAGTGCTGATATTCTAGTTACATGAAAAGTGATGCTAGAATTCTAATGGGAATGATGTTCTCAACAAATGGGACAGAATTATGTCAAGCAACTTATACAACTATACAATAGAGAGCCACCTAAAGTTTTGGGAAGCTTATGTAAATGGTTAATTAAAGGAAAATGGTGGCATGTTGTTAACTCACAGACGTGGGAATGGGGCTTGGGGGCTAGTTAAGTATAGATTAACCAAATATAACAAGATTTAAAAATAAATTCTGAAAAATGGTGATATTAAATATTTAAGGGAATGAAATAAGAAAAAGTTTTGTTTGCTTTCAGAAGATGAAATATGAAATACCTTGAAGTACTGCCATTCATTGTATTCATTTAGACTACAATGTGTAATCATGATTTTTGATCCATCAGGTCCCTTTGTCAAACATTGGTCATACTGCATGAGTTGATTTGCTTCATTGATTCTGAAAAGCTAATGGCAAACAAATGAAAATGAAACCTTCCCCAGTAATCCCCCTCCCCACACCCCGTTTTTTAATTGATACAAAGTCAATGACCTACAATTTCCTAAATTCAGGAATTTATGAGGACAGATCAGAAGTCACCTTTAACTCCTGAATTTAAGTGGTTTTGCCTTCAGTCACTTAGCTAACTAAATATCTGAGGTAGGATTTGAATTCAGATTTTCCTGTGCAGGATTTAGAAGAATGAGCCCTGGGGTTCAAATTCTACCTGTGATATTTAATATGTGACCTTGCGTAAGTCTTTCTTTATTTGTAAAATGAAGAGATCACATTAGTTGACCTCTAAGGTACAATCTAGTTCTAAATCTATGATCCCATCATGGTATAACTCTTAATAATAACAATGATATGTAGCGCTTTAAGGTTTGCAAAGTGAATTATGTATATTATCTCATTTTATTCACATAACATTATCTACTATGCTGTGCTACGACATAATTTTTTTAAATTACTAAAGGAATTAAGTTTTTCAGAGAAAAAAAAAATCCCTTTGCATTTCTATGCATGTCCCAGATCACAAGGTGCAAGCAGTCAGGGATTGTATACTTTTAAGCTCATTACTTTACTAGAAAGGCTGTGTGGTGTAATGGACACAGCACTAGCCAAGAAACCAGGAAGGCAAGTTTAATCCTGCATATTGGCTTCCCAATCTCTCGGTCCTCTAGTCTAGGCAACTCTCTAAGACTATACGTATAAATTGCAGAAAAGGTGCTGACTAATCTGGAAATTTCCTGTATCATCAAAATCATAGGTCTACTCTCTGTCCTTCATTAGCATTTAAAGTATTGAATTCTTCAGCCTTTGAAAATTAGAAAAAAATTACTAAAATTTATTTATTGTGTAAGAGTCTAAAGTTAGGGACAAGTTTATATGTTGAAATGAGAATATATTGAGAGAGGTCAGAGAATGAATAATTGGATTGCTTCTATGGAAATGGGTTTTGCAAGACTTCACATGTATAATTGATATCATATTGCTTGTCTTCTCAATGGGTCGGGACATTAGAGAGGGAGAGAATTTGCAAATAAAAATTTTTTAAAATAAATTCGAATTTAAAAAAAAAGTAATTGGGAAATATTTAATGAACTGAATAAAAATATAATTAAAAAAATGAACTGTTAGGGGGACAAGGTTACATACGACCTAAGCAGTGGAAATCTATAGTTATAGAACAGCACATTGTAATAAATGTCAAACTTTAGTCTCTGATATCTGATACTATTAGCAGCCTCCCCACCTAACAGTGTTTGGTCAACACATTTTCATAGCTAACTTTTTAGTTGCCAAAGAACTTCAGGATCAGTTATCTTAGTCTTTCTCAATCCAGGCTAGAACTAAAAAGTGATGTGAATTACCTGATTTCCTCCCATCCGATGACAAGGTCCCAGTTCCACAAAGCCACCATTTGCATGCCCCATGCTATCAATGCAATGTGCAGTTTCAACACCTCTGATCTGGAAATGAAAGATGCTATATTAGTATTTAATTATCTTTACTCTCATACCATGAGTTCAAAGCCTTTATGTTTAAACGCTACTGTTGTAAACTCAATTTACATACAGAGGATTGGAGACGCATACTCTAAGAAGGCAGTTCCTAAGGAAACAAAATGGCAGCTCTCTCAAAACTTGAGAATGTGGCATTAAAGAAATGGCTGTAATATTACGTTTTCAAATGGTCTACAGTTTGCAAAGTTAAAGGCTAGAATGTACACATAGGATCAAAGATTTAGAGATGGATGGAATTTTAGAGGCCAAGCCTCCTCATTTTATAGATAAGAGACTTTACCACTTGTCCAAGTTCTCACTTGGTAACAGATAAAAGAGCCAAGATTTGAACTCAGGTCTTCTGATTTCAAATTCGGCACTGAAGTGCTGCATCTAATTAGTCTAAAAAATTGGTCCAAAAAAGGGAAGGAAGTGAACCAGCATTTATTAAATGCCTACTATGTGCTAAGCACTTAGCAAATATCTCATTTGATCCTCACAGCAACCTTGGGGAGGTAGATGCTATTATTAACCTTACTTGAAACATAAGGAAATTCTTGTTTGCATGCTGTCTCATCCCTTAGACTGTAAGTTCTTTGAAGCAGTCTTTTGCCTCCTTGTGTATCCCTAGCACTTAGTATAGTACCTGGTACAGAGTAGGCACTTAATAAATGTTTATTAATTGATTATGGAAGACAGGGCATAAGTAACTTGACCACAAACAGTCACACAGTTCATAAAGTGTCTGAGCCCAAATCTTAACTTAGGTCTTCCTGACTCCAGGCCCAGAGTTCTATCTACTACATGACCTCTAGTTGCTTCTAAAAGGGGACAGAGGAGAGGGCGTTTATCATGGAAAGTTTCAGAACCATTAGAGCAAAAACTATAACATTATAGTAAACACCTTCACACAATAACTTTGTTAACCAAATCTTGTGAATTTGCTATAAATGAAATTGTTGGTGCTGCACAGTTGTTTCAGTTGTGTCCAACTTTTTGTGACCCCATTTTGAGTTTTTTTTTTTTAGCAAAGATATTGGAGTGATTTGCCATTTTCTTCTCTAGCTTATTTTACAGATGAGGAAACTGAAGCAAATAGGGTTAAGTGACTAGCTCAGGTCACACAACTAGTAAATGTCTGAGGTCAGAACTGAACTCTGGAAAATGAGTATTCCTGACTTCAGTCCCAGAGTTCTATCCACTGTACTACCTAGCTGCCTCATAACTGAAAAAAGGGTTGACTAAAAGAAGTATGTACTATTAAGGTCTTTTCTTTTTATATCATAGTCATTTCTTTATATCTTCCTCCTTCCCTCTCAGAAACAGACCCTCCCTTAAAACAAAGAAAAACAGGGAAAGCTATGTGGCCCAGTGGATAGAGCACCAGCCTTGCAGTTAGGAGGATGTGAATTCAAATCCAGCTGCAGACACATAATACTTACTAGCTATGTGACTCAAGGTAAGTCACTTACCCCCAACTACCCTCCCCCCCACACAAAGAAAAACAGATAAGAAAAAAAAATAATCCTTAAAAAAAAAAACTCAATTGCATACAACATTCAACTTCTAGAAGTCCCCCCACCTCTTTGTCAAGAACAAGGCATTCTGTTTTCTAAGACCATTCATGGTTTTTTAGTTCTCAAGATTCAGGCATCCTTTTAGGCATCTTTTCATTTACATTTTTGTAGTTATGACGTACCTTATTCTTTTGGCTTTACCTATTTTGCTCTGCATCAGTTCATAGAAATCTTCCCATATTTCTATGAATTCCTCAAATTCATGATCTGTAACTCCACAGTAGTATTCCATTATGTTAACAGGCAATAATTTTTTCCTGGTTCTTTGCTACCACAAAAAGTGCTGCTATGAATATTTTGGCATATGTTTGGACCTTTACTTTTTCTGTCTTTGAGCTCCTTGGGGCCCACATTCAATAGTGGGATTGCTGGACTAAAGAGTATGACTCCAAATTGTTTATTCAGTATGTTTGGCTCAATTCACTATATTCCTGTCTTTCCAACGCTGACTTCTTATTTTTTGTCATCCTTCCCACTGTGCAGGTTGTGAAGTGAAGGGGCAGATTTTTTTAAAAATTTGCTTTCTCTTATAATTCCTGACATGTTTTCACATTGTCTTATACAGTTTGCAATTCTGGGGGGGAAACTTCACATTTTTTGACCACTTAACTAAGGATTCTTGGCTTTTTATTACAATTTCCTAAAGACTAATTTTTCCCTATCTCAACTAGGCTAGACGAATAAGGGCTACTAAGTAGTCTGACCCCACTAATGATCAGTTTGGGAAGTTTGATCTGCTCCATCACCAACCTAGGCTGGTTTATCCCTCCTTCGATAAACTTACCCCTCCCTTTCTTGCCCGCCTCTATTGATTCTGGACTCACCATATTGATGCTGGACTTAGCGGAGACACAGAAATGACCTAGCTTATTGATGCTCAGAACCCCTGAGTTCAAGAGACCCACCTCAAGTAGTAAGGATTACAGGTGGGGATCACCATGCTTTTATCAATGACATTTGATACCAGACTATTTCCCCACTAGACAGTTTCTCTTTTTATTTTATCTGCATTGATTTTGTTTGTACCAAAGCTTTAAATTGCCTGTTTTGTGTTCCATGATCATCTCTGTGTTTGGTTAAGACTTCTTCCTGTGTTCATAGCTGTGAAAGATAACTCCTGTTTTCCTTGAAGTTATGTGTGTACGTGTGTATGTGTGTTTGCATGTGTGATGGGATTTCATATTCAGGTTATAATCCATGATTATTCAATATATACATACCATAAAGAGGCTGGTCTAATTTCTTCTTTCTAATTTTCAGGGGTTCTTGTCAAATAGGGAGTCCGTACCTAAGTAAGTTCTTGGGTTTGTGAAATAGTGGGCTACTGTTTTTGATTGTTTCTGGTTCTCCCTTATCTAACCAGTTTAACTGTTTTACTTCTCTATTTTTTTTTAAACCCAGTACCTAATAGTTTTGCTGATCATTGATTTCTCATATAATTTGAGGTCTGATAATGCTATGTCCCTCTTCATTCCTCCTTTTTTAATTGCTTCCCTTCAGATCTGAGACCTTTTGTTCTGCAAAATGAATTATTATTTTGTAATACATTATATCATTTTATATAAAATATATTTGTATATAAATAATATAATACACATATGTAATATAATACATAATTATTGTATAATTCCATAAAACAGTCCCTTGGTAGTTTGACTGGCATAATACTAAGTGTAAATTAACTTGGGCAGTATTGAATAGGGTTGACTTTGCAAGACATATTCCTTAGGGACTCATTAGTATGTCTTTGATTCATGTAGCTGCATTTAGTTATGGAATACACAACTGGACAATTGGACTTTTTTCGAGGTGGAGAATTAGGGATAGGGACTGTACCTTATTATAGAGAACCCCTAGGTAGAGTTCCTCAACCAATGCAGGTTAGAACCTGTTCAGTAAGTTAGTCTTAAAGTGCTCCTCTGGCTAATTAATGTGCCTGGGGTCACACCAACATAATGTGTCCCAAGTGAGTCTTAAACCCAGGTGTTCCTACCTTCTGGTCTAGCTCTCTATCCATTATGCTTCCTGCCTCAGGTTGCAAATTATATATATATGTATACATATATATATATATATATATACACACACACATATATAGACTATTATTGAAAGTTCAACATACCATGTATATTAAGGAAACTTACAAAAGGCTTTTACTTTGAAGATTCCTAAGTCATCAAAGAAAACCCCAGAGAAATCATAGAAATTCAAGGTTATCCATATCTGTGCTAAAAAAGGCATTGCCACCTATCTCTGATCTGCAAATGAGCTGAGAGGAAGAAAGGCATTCCTTACACAAGAAGGAGCTTGCTTGGCAGCTTCAGAAGGGAACAGAGACTTTGCATTGGGGAAACATCAAGAGTCTGCTTCATGTCAGCCAATGGAAAGGATTGCTGAAGGACTTTAAGTAATAAAATGGCACCTGCCATTTAAACTATATGGCTATTAGAGACTAAACTTATATGTTAGCTTTAAATCAAAGGCGAAAAAGTCTAGATTTACTAGAAGGTCCAACCAGACTAAGACAACTGTGAATGTAACTCAAAAATAATCAACAAGAGAGAACAAGTTAGGGTAGGGCTTGATGAGGAAACTGGGGGCTAGAGAGGTTAAGGAGTTTGTCTAACGACACAGGCTTAAGTGTTCTGGGTCCAGAAGCCCAGAGATCTTTAAGTAGGGAAAAGGAGACAACTATCTGCAAGGTTACTGTAGGAAGACCTGAATCCTAGTGTAAAGTCTTTGGGGCCCACATAGGGAAGTGCTCTTCTCTTCTTGGAGAAGTGGGGGAAAGGACAGGACCTAAGGAGAATCAGGTCGGCTTTACAGTAGAAAGCGGTGTGTGAGCCAGAGGGAATGACTTGGGTGGATATATTCAGAATAGGAAGCAGGCTCGGGAACAGAAAGGTTCAACCATGGAATCAGTGCCAACCTCAGCCTTTCTCAGAGTACAAGTTAAGAGTTTATTTGTTAAGCATTCATCCCAGATAACGGAGTTTAAGAAAATATAAGGGAGTTGACAGGGAGCTCCCCCTAAGTGATGTCAGTCAATCTAATAGCTTGGCTAGCCTTGAGTTAAATTAGAACCATAAAACTTTACTTTGTGAACTCATTGTTTTCTATGGTTTTCTGTGACAGTTCTTTCTTTCTCTCTCTCTCTCTCTCTCTCTTTCCTTCCTTCCTTTTCCCCTTAGCTTCTAAGTAATATTAATTAAAAAATACAGCATTCATATAGAGTGACTTTAAGGCTTGTAATTTGCTTTCTGTATACAGTGTCCCAAAAGTCTTAGTGTAGTTTGAAGCTAAGACATTTGGGACACCCCGTATTGTCTCTCTTGATCTTCACAATGAGGTAGGAGCTGTTTTCCTCATTTTAGAAATGAGGAACCTGAGGCCAACAAGGGGTGTCATACCCAAGGTTACATACTAGCTGCCTGAGGCAGGATTCTGGCACTTGTGGACTGTGGCCCTTTCCCACTTAGGGAAGTGACTTTCAGCCATAATTTTTCTCTTTCTGACTCAAAATAAAAAGATGAAGCAAAGAGATCCATGTTGTTTCTCCTTCCCATTCACCTAACACTCCAAGAAAACCTGCTTCTAACCAGGCTCCAGAATGGTGCCGTGGGGGACTCTACTGCCCCAATGATTCTCTCTGCCTTTTTCCTCCTCCATAAAGTCCCAAGGTTGAATACATTCTCAACCCTCCTGGTTTCTCATTACCACCTTGGGTTAGTGGTTCCTCAACATTCAGTTGTGTGTGAGGGAGATGACTGGAGCTATTTCTTTTTTTTAACCACCTCTGGGAAAATGGTGTGCAATCTTTATTTCAGGCTCCTTGGATGTATCAGAGAAACCAAAGGGGATGAACAGAACTAAAGGAAAAATGCTCTAGCTTACCTAAGTTGAAATCTGTGGAATACCACACATACTCTCAGGCACAAGTGTTTGGTTGGTATGGCTAAGCTGCTTTTTTAAAAACGATAAAATCTTTGAGATTTTAAACTTAAAATCTTTATTATGACGGCTTACTGGAAATATGGGCCAGGGAGAAGGACAGATATTCAGAACTAAAGGTGAGGTGAAAATAGAAGATGTCAACGAAAATTAGAATAAGAAAAATACTATTCTGTGCCTGATACAAACCTGTGGAAAATGAGGCTTCAATCTTTCTTAGCTCCTCCTTTTTTGCCTCATTGAAACCATTGGTCAGCTGATTTTCCATTTCCAGCAGACAAATCCCATAAAGGATCTCCCATAGTGATCCATGCATGCACTTGGTAGCTATAGTGCCTTGGGTTTGCTAAGGCTGCTAAGGTGGCTTCATCTTCGAGCAATGGGAAGTAACACTGGATATATGTCAAAGGACCAGGTTTTGAGTCCTGGTTCTATTACTTGTTACCTGTGTGACCCCAGATACTTACTTCACATTCTGGGCCATGAGTTTCCTCATTTCTAAAATGCGAGTACTATTTTTGAAGGCCTACCAATACCAAGTCTAAATTTATGATCCTATGTTCCTGCTGGAATCTATTTCTTAACCTAGCTACAGGTCTGGGATCTTCAGGCTAGGAGCAGAAATCCCTCCTATCCGCTTTGGTCATTCATCTAGTCTCAGCTTCCTTCCTGTCCATCAGGTTGGTTAAAGACCTGCTAAAGTCCTATCCTTGACCAAAGAACAACTGGTACCTTCTGAATGTGAGATGACGAAATTCATTCACCCCTCTGTTTTGCAGTCATAATTTGTGTCTCTTCCCAGAAAAATGGTTTTCTTTTCTTTTCAATCTAATTTTTATTTTCGGCTTTTGTTTTCACATCACCTCCATTTCCAAGTATATATCCCTCCCCTAGCCTTGCCAACCAAAAGCCATCTCTTGTAACAAAGATTAAAAAAGGACAAGGAAAAAAAGAAGCATGTCTGACAATACATACAATATTCCACACTTAAAATCTTCTGAGAGGATGGAAGTATATTTTCTCAAAGTCAGTGATTTTCGAAAATTTCCCCATCAGTATACATCCAAAGGAGAAAAATACTTTGAATATGTGTGTGTGTATATATACTTGTATATGTGTGTGTATCTATATGTATATCTCTCTTTATATATCTACTATTGACCAAACAATTGTTAACTCCTTTCACCAGTAATGGCAGGCTCATAATACCACATATGGTAATAAGAGAGGAGGGAGGTATCTTTCTCAAAGAGAGTGATTTTCTAAAATTTCCCTATCAGTACACATACAAAAGAGAAGAACACTTTGAATACACATGTGTGTATACACACACACACAATACATGCATTTCCATATGTGTGTCTATATATGTACACACATGTTATATATATGTATGCTCATATTTACGTATGTATCTATATCCCTAATGATCAAATAATTGCTAACTCCAGTAATGGCAGGGTCAAAATACCATATATGGTTATCTGGGTAAACAAATTATTAGTGCATATTTTCTCCTCTCTATAACTCACAAAATCCTATTTCCAACGTTTCATCAAGGTATGGAAGTGACCCTCTATTTTCAAAGGCTCAGGGGAGTGAAAGTTCTGATAGGTTCCTCCCACCTGGAAAGGGTTCCAATATGGTCCTGGAAATGGACTGTGTCTGCTTTCTGAGGACTAGCTTAGCTAAGACTAGAGGGGGTAGGCAACAGTGGGCATCTTGATGATGAATTTTTTGGCTGTGGCAATTCATGGTATAATGTGTCTGTGCAGGTCCCTTGCTCTATCTGCAGTGATAGGGTGCAGGGGATAGTAACAATCACAGTTTTTGAAACTCTAAAAGGTGAAATCCCTGCCCAATGACTCCTAACCAGGCATTCTACAGGAGACACTGGATCTTGTCACTATTGATATTCTTAACTAAATGGAAGAATGATTCACAGGCTCTCTACATGATTTTGGCTGGTGAACTCATCAATTCCCATGAATTCAATTATCATCTTTATGCCGATGAATCCTAGATCCATTCATCCAGGTCTAACCTCTTTCCTGACATGCAGGCTTGTATCTACAACAGCCTATTAGGCATTTCAAACTGGATGTTCCATAGATGTCTTAAACTCAACATGTCCAAAACTGAACTCATTATCTTTCTCCCCCAAACTTTCCTTTCTTCCTAGCGTCCTGCCTTTCTTTGTATCCTCATGTGCCTGGCACATAAGGAGTACTTAAAAATGCTTGTTCACTTCCCTATTACTGTCAAGGGCACCACCATCCTCTTAGACTCACAACTTAATGCCTTCTTCAACTGTTCATTCTGTCACTCCCCCCTGACCCCCATCACCATATTTAATTTGTTGCCAAGTCCTTTAGAGTCTACCTTTACAACATCTCCCCTCTATACCTCTTTCTCTCCTCTAATACTGCTACCACCATAGTGCAGGCCCTCATTACCTCATGCATGGATTATTAGAACAGCCTTCTAGTTGGCCTCCCTGCCTCAAGTCTTTTTCCAGTACAATTCATCCTTTAGGTATCAAAGTGATTTCCAAAGAAGTCAAAGCTATCAATAGTCACATAAAAATACTCTAAATCACTACTGATTAGAGAAATGCAAATCAAAACAACTCTGAGATACCATGTCACATCTATCAGATTGGCTAATACGAAAGAAAAGGAAAGTGACAGATACTGGAGGGGATGTAGAAAAATATGGACACTAATTAATGTACTGTTGGTGGAGTTGTGAACTGATCCAGTCATTCTGGAGGGCAATTTGGAATTATGTCCAAAAGGCTATAAAACTGTGCATACCCTCTGACCCAACAACACCACTACTAGGTCCATATCCCAAAGAGATCAAAGAAAAGGGAAAAGGACCAACATCCCAGGCTAAATCTGTTCAACTTTCCCCATTGGCCTCATCTGGCAAAGTATGCCAATCTATCATTTTTCGGTCAGTTTTTTGAGTCCTCTGACATTCTGGACACCCACCTTAACCAACTCTGGTTGTACCAGTGTTCCTTCTAAAATGTGCCTGAACAGATCACAATAGTCCAGATATGATCTGAATAAGACAAGTTACTATAACCTATTACATTTGAGTATAATACACCTGATCTTGAGAGATCCTAAAGGATAGAATTACACTTATTCATAACAATTTATCTTTTCTTTTCTCCTCTCCTCTCTGGATCAGTTCCCATTCAGTGCCAAGGGTGAGACTCTGGATGGCCTGGCCTGTTGCAACTGATTAGCAGGGAAGAGTAAGGAGGCAATTCTTAACCAAACATTTTCCTCCTTTCTCTACCCTTGGCCATTCATCCCTAACACCCACAGGAGCCCATGTGCCAATGAGTAGATACAAACGTACTGTGACCACTGAGTACAAGCTCATACATACCTCTCCCCATTCAACATTCTTGGGCGGTAAGGGATAGTGTGAGATGATATCATAAGCTATTTCTTCCATGAACCACTTAAAACTTTTGCAGTTGTGATCTTCCCGAAATTTTTTCAGTTCAGATATATCCCCATAGGGTAGTGCTTTTGATTCAGGGCGACTGGCATAGAAATAGTCTTTGTAGCTATCCCACCAAACCTCCACAACTCTAATGTAGTTCTGTTGAAAAGAAAAACATTTCACAAGGCAACATGTTAAGTTTTTACTTCGTGTAAAAAATCTGTCTTAATGGAACATGAAATATTTCAGGCCATCTTCAAGTTGCTGTGCTTCTGTATTCTGGCCTCTGACCTCATGTCCCTGTCCTCGGCTTCTCTGATAGTGGTAGAGAAGGAAAATGTAGGGGGCAAGGTAGTTAGCAAAGCTCTGGAGAGAGTACGGAATGAAGTGAGGATGGCTAGGTTTTCCTGAAAAAGAGAGATAGGAGATGCAGTCACCAATCATGATAGGGACCAAGGGGCATTGGGGAAAGTCATTTAACCTCTATGGGCATCTGCTTTCTTACCTGTAAGATGGTATTTGAGTAAATGATCTTTAAGGTCATTTTTGTGGGCAGCTAGATGGCGCAGTGATTAGAGTTCTGGGTCTGGAGTCAGAAGACTCATCTTCATGAGTTCAAATCCAGCCTCAGACACTTATTAGCTGTGTGACCCTGGGCAAGTCACTTAACCCTACGTGTTTCAGTTAAATCTATAAATCTGTAATCTGTAAAAATAAGCTGGAGAAGGAAATGGCAAACCGCTCCAGTATCTCTACTAAGAAAACATCAAATGGGGTCACAAAGAGTTGGACATGACTGAAAAAAAGGTCACTTTCAGCTCTAAAAATCTATGATTCCATTGTGAAAAAAAAAAAGAATATATTTTTCTGAATAAGTACAGGATAAGTTTGGAAATAAAAGTCTGACTTTATTATTATATATAACATAAACATAATAACTTATTATTGTTAATTTTCTGAGTATGCATACATAGAGATATTTATATATCTTTTTGAGTTGATAACAAGTAATGCTTCTTTATTATTTATTTAAAAGTCTAGCATTTGGGGTGATAAAAAATGCTAAAAATAATTATGAATTCTTAATACCTCTAACTCTATTTTTAATTTTTCAAGTCACTTCTAGTTCAATCATACTTCACAATTTTACTAGCTGTACTGTAACAGGTACCATTATCATTCTATCTACACCCTGACATGTTTGTTTTTTTAATTTTTAAAAATTCTCTGCTTAACAAATACCAAATTAAGTGAGCTTTTCCATATATAGTTGTATAGAAAAAGAATATTGTACAAGAAATTATGAATCTGTTATGTGCAACTTGCTTTTAAAATATATATATTTTAAACATACCTACACACCTATATGTGAATTTGTGTATATATCTACATACAGATATACTGGCGTGTATAACTTTCAGAGCTGTCCTCCCTGCCTGTAATTCTTTCTGGTTGTCTCCTGCACATTAAAAAAAATGCTGTGATGATCCTTTTCTCTTTCTTTTTTTGACTATGCTAGTCCTAGCCCTTCTCTGCCTCTCTTCCCCCCATAAAAATAGAATAACAAACCCCTTGTAATAAATACACATAATTAATGAAAAACAAATTTTCCTACTGGCTGGGTCCAAAGATCTATGTCTCCATCTGCACCTTGATTCTGTCCCCTCTCCATCAGGAGTGGCTAGCAAGCTTCATCATCATCTTTCCATCCATTTTAAAGGTGTCACTCCTGAAGAAATTCACCTCTTCTTATGGTTTCAATGATAAGACTCACCTTTAACGTTGGAGACGATCCTAAATAAATTGGTGGTGGATTTCCTTGCCAACCCGAAAGACGATATATATGTCCAACTCGAGAACAAGGGACAAACAACAATTTGCCACCACACTGCCATATCTACCAAGGAAAGAGAAATGTGGATGTGTGTTTTTTTTTTAATAAGGGAAGGATTCGCACCCCTCCCCAACAAAGCACCTAAAATCTACCAAGGAAAGAGAAACGTGGATTTTTTTTTAATAAGGTGAGCCTCCCCCCGCAAAGCACCTAAAATCTCATCTTAAACTATCTTCCTGACAACATAGTAAATTATTCACATGGTTAAATGTTAAGACACTGTGATTTCCACAACCTATACAATATTAATAATAATTAGTAATAAGAAAAGTTAAGGTTTATAGAGCACTTGAAGGTTTGTAAAGAGCTTTAGATAAATTATTCTCATGCGATCATACAACAACACAGAAGACTGCTGGGAGCAGAGCAATCAGTTTGCTACCAAAATGACTCTTTCAACATACTCCTGCAACCTTTCTTCAAAACGGTTTTCTAAACAATCCTAAGAAAAGAAGGCTAAGACAAATGGGAAGCTGGCCTAAGGTTGCTGAGCAATCGGCAGAGGTGGAAGAGGAGGGGGCAGGGAGGGCTGCAAGCCGATGCACAGAGACTCTTTAGTCATGCTAAGGTAATGGGGAAGTGCTAGGGTAAGGTGTTAGCTGACTGCATAAGGACTTCTGCCTGGTCAAGTAGCGGTGGTTAGAGCGCCACAACTCTGATTCAGGAAGACCTGAGTTCAAATCCTGCTTCAGATTACTTACAAGTTATAAAGTACTAGTTACCTGTTTGAGGCTCAGTTTCCTCATCTGTAAAATGGAGAAAACAGTAGCACCTGCCTCATGGGGTCTTCATGAAGATCAAAGGAGGTATCTATAAAGTACTCTGCCATCTTTAAAGCTACTTATATATATATATATGCTAGCTACTACTATTGGCCAAGGGGGTTAGGGGAATCAGAGGCAGATGAAAACCAGCATATTTTTCATCAAACTGAACTCTACATGGTAAGGGGCAGAGAGAGTATGTAGGGAGGGCACAGACAAAGGAGCCAGTTGAATATGGAAGTATGGCCAGTGAGCACCAACCCAACAGTGGCACCTTTCCCCACGGGAACATCTTCAGGGGAGTCACAGAGTGCCGGGGATAGCTTTGGGTCATCTCTTCCACTGCCGCGGAGTGCAAGGGCCTTGATTGCTGACCTGGGGATAATCTAAGAAATGCTCTCTCCTCTCTGGGTTTTCTTGACACTGCTCTCTCCTAGTACTCCTGTTACCTGATCCTTCTCAGCCTTCTTTTTTTTTTTAAATTTTATTTTTAACATCACATTCTATTTTCTTAAAGTAATGAAAGCAAAACTCAGCCATAAACTGCTTTTCAGGAATGTAATTCTTAGGAGTGAAAACTGGAGATAATAATAACTGACATTTATATAACACTTTAAATTCTGCAAAACACATTTTCCCACGTTACACAATAATAACTGACATTTACATAACACTTTAAATTCTGCAAAACACGTCTTCCTATGTTACACATCATTTGAGTTAGTAGGACAGGGACTATAGAGGTATTAATGTCTTTATGTTACACAAGAAGAAACTAAACACAGAGTTTCTGCCTTCCTGAGTTGAACAAAAATCCTGTTCTGGTCCATCATCGTGCATTAACCCTCATACTCCTGCTCTCCTTCCTCCCTTCCCCAGGTGAAAAACTCTGTACATTCTCTGGGTTTCTGGGTACATATTTGTGCTTATGTCCATGTGCATTTGGGTCCCATGTTCTTATGGCCTTTTTTTTTTTTAATTTGTCTTGGCTTGTTGCTCCTATGGTTAATGTCCTTTGAAGGTTTATATTCCATGCACTGCTTCCTGTGGGTGGGTATACCCAAGAATTAGGTGCTCTGCTCCCTCTTCTTCTCCCTTACAGTGATCTTATCAGCTTCTTCGGATTCAAGTAGCAGCAAGGTGGCACTGTGGATAGAGCTCTGGACCTGGAGTCAGGAAGACCTGAATCCAAATCCAGCTTGAGACACTAGCTATTTGACCCTGGTCAAGTTACTTGTCTGCTTTAGTTTCTTCACCTGTAAAATGGGTGTAATAATAACGCACATCTACGAGGGTTGTTGTGAGGATCAAATGAAACATTTGTAAAGTGCTTTGCAAACCTTAAAGTGCTACATAAATGCTATTATTATTATTATTGTTGTTGTTGTTACTCAATCATCCTCTCTATGGGAATCTGCAGACCCAGTCCTCATTTCTTTCCTGAGTTCCAGACTCATAACTCCAAATGCTTTTTTTGCTTGATAGCTCTACCTGGATGTCCCACAGGCATCTCAACAGGTATGAAACAGATCTCACTTTTCCAACTAAATCTAGCCCTCCTTCTAACTCCCTTTTATCTGTCAAGGGCATCACCCTTCTAGTTACCCAGGTTTGTAACCTAGGAGTCCTCCTAAACTATTCATTCTCAATCTCCCCCCCCCAATCATGTGCCAAATTTTGCTGATTCTATTTCCTTAACATTATATTTCCATCCCCTTTTTCTCTACCATAATAAAACATGAATGTTCATCATGTATAAGCAGGATGACTGAAACAGACTCCTAATCATTATAGTCTCTTCATTCTCAGCACGGCAGCCAAAGTGATATTCCCGAAAGCACAAGAAGTGTCAGTGACTCCCAGCCGTCTTTAGGATTACTGCATATTTCTCTTGAATATCACTTGCATTTACTTATCTCATTTTCTATCCACCTAACAATATATAAGACTCCCTGAGGAAAGGGGCTGCCTCATTTTTACATTTGTATCTCTAGGGCCTCACACAGTACCTGGCACATAAAAGAGGTCTGCTGATTGATTGATTCACCTGAGGGAGGGGCAGTAAGGACAAGACACCATCAGGGTCAGAGTATACTATGTCCCAGGGAACTTCCTCTAAGCTACTCCCCTCTCCTAAAGGAATGTCAGTGTCTGGCTCTCAAGAATCTGACAGAAACTTTGAAACATTAAAAAAAAAAAAACCTTTAATCTTTTTTGTTTTGTTTTTAGGCAATTGGGGTTAAGTGACTTGCCCAGGGTCACACAGCTAGTAAGCGTCAAGTGTTTGGTCTGAGGCCAGATTTGAACTCAGGTACTCCTGACTTCAGGGCCAGTGCTGTATCCACTGCACCACCTAGCTGCCCCAAAAACCTTTAGTCTTAAAAAGCACCCTGGAACCTAATGGTTAGAGTGGTAGGAAGTGAGTCAACAAGAATTTATTTAAGAACCTACTATGTGCTAGGCACTGTGATAAGGTCTGAGAATACCACGAAAGGCAAAACCAAAAATACTGCTGTTATGGAGCTCACATTCCAATGGAGAAGAGGACATGGAAGCGTCTAGTTCCATACAGGATATAGAGAAAGTAGATGGCAGGTAATCTCAGACAAAAGGCACTTTATGATCAATTAAGATGATATTTGTAAAGTGCTTTGTAAACCTTGAAGTGTTCTGTAAGTGTTAGCTCTCTTTATTATTATTATTATTATTAAGTATAGAGAAAGCTTCTCCAGAACAGGTACAGATTCATTCTTGATCCTTAATTGTCCCCTTGTCAGGGTCAGTCGATAAATATTTATTATAATCCTTAATGTCTGAGCTCCTCATGAGATGAGACATTTAAGAATAGGTAAGTTATTTTTTAAAGCTTAAATTCTGCCTTAGATGAATTTTTGATTCTCAAATATTCAAATGAACTTGTGATTTCATTGTCGTTATTAATCACTCCAACAATGCAGATCACAACCTGTCTGTGTCTCTGTCCATCCTGTGACTGGCCCTGCTATCCCACAGGGGCACCACCTAGTGCACCAGGAGCTTTTTCTTTTTCTTTTTTTTTTGTGAGGCAATCAGGGTTAACAGGGTTAAGTGACTTGCCTAGGGTCACACAGCCACTAAGTATCATATATCTGAGGCAGGATTTGAACTCAGGTCCTCCTGACTCCAGGGCCAGTGCTCTGTCTACTGCACCACCTAGTGGCCCCATAAGGTTTCTGTTTAGGCTTTGGTCTCATTTCTTTTTTTTTTTCTTTTCTTTTCTTTTCTTTTTTTTTTTGGTGGGGCAATTAGGTGGCTCAGTAGATAGAGCACTGGCCCTGGAGTCAGGAGGACCTGAGTTCAAATCCAGCCTCAGATACTTGACGCTTACTAGCTGTGTGACCCTGGGCAAGTCACTTAACCCCAATTGCCTCACCAGTAGTTTTTTTCTTGCCACTGTGAAGATACCCAGGGAGGCACATGGATTGTCCATTAGTTATTCTTGGCTCTTGTTATGTAACCCAGACCATCTTCTTTTCTCACACACAAAAAAAATAAATATTCGTTTTGGTATTTAAAGATATGCAATAAAAAATAAAAAATCCTGTCTTCATGTGCTTGCATAAAGGGTCCCCCTGTCTGGAATGCACTTTCTCCTCTCCTCTAACTCTTGAAATCCCTAGCAAGGTTCCTTCCAGGTTTTACCTGATCCCTACAGTTAGTAAAGCCCTTTCCTTGAAGTCACTTTGTATTATTTTGTGTACACTTACCTGGGGACACAGCATGAATATAAGCTTTCTTAAGGGTGGGGACTATTTCTTTTTGTTATAGTAGGGGTGATCAGAGGAACTTCTGATTGATTTGGTGGGTCCCTCATCCATGTCTTATGATATCATCCTGTGAACTGGGGGACCTCAGAGGAACCTCTGACTTATTAGGTGGGTCTTTTGGTCCATGTGATGAGGTTAGAGCAGAGATTCTTGGTTTTTTTTTGTGTGTGTCATGGACCTTTTCTGGTCTAGTTAAACCAATGGACTCCTCCTCAGAATGTTTTTTAATTGCATAAAAATAAAATGCATGAGATTACAAAAGAAACCACTTGTACAAAAATATATTTATCAAAATACTTTTTAAAAAAGTTCACAGACCCAATTATGAACCCCGGGATTAGAGGGAGTCAGGGGTTATCTTAATCACCTGTTGTCTTTGTATCTCTAGCCTTTTGTTGAGCATTAATACATTTAATAAAATTTATAAATGTTTGTTGAATTGAAGAACAAAAAAGCCAAGTTTTTACTAAAGGAGCTCTCCTAACTTCTGAAAGTCATACAAGCCTGGACCACCTTAAACTGCATGTCTTAAAATGAAATGTTTTACCTTGTAAGAAATCTCAAAGTTTTCACCACCCCAAATCTGAAGACCCGGATCATAGAGACCCAATTCAAAGAAGAAATCCCGTTCAATGGCAAACAATCCACCAGCCATGGCTGGGGACCTAGGAAAACAAGACAATAAAATAACTAATAAATCCAAGCAATAAAAGCAAAACAAAACAAAAGCCAACAGAAAGCTATCCCCTCTTGTGCACAATCGAATAATCAAGTAATTGAGAGAAGATCAAATTCATGACAAAACAAAAAGAAATTATTAAGCTTTCTTAAAATAATCTATTTAGGTTTACCCCCTCAGTGAATTTCCTGAGTTTTTTTTTCCTTTTACAAACTACTTAAACTAAGCCTTGGCTCAGCCATTAGAAGGAGCTTTTGCTGCCAATCCAGGGGGATCCTACAGACTGAAAATGAAGCTTTGGCTTCAGCTGAATACGGAGTATCCACTGCTTCTACTGCTAAGTAGCTGGGCAGTGGTGCTGTCAGCTCTGCTAACTGCCATTACGGTGATTCCTATGACTTACTCTGGGAAGAAGGAAACCACTACCCACTAGCAGCAGCCTGCCACTTTTTAATTGAATAGTTTAGGGACTTGACAAATGAAAGGAGGGTATAAATCTCTGTAGGATGGCAGGAGAATAGCTTCAGTTTGTGCATCTGCAGTGGCCGCTGGTAACCTGAAGCCTCAATTGGCACACAAAACCTCATTAGGAATGGAACAGTAATTCTATTAAGAAAGGAAAATCTTATAAGGCACAAGCTGTTCTAATCTTCAGATTGTCCTGAGAGTACGGTACTAAAATATCTAGCCATATTCCAATGACATATGTTGTTTTGCTTCTTAAAATTATTCTCATAACTGTGCCTTTTGGAGTTGCAAAAATATCTCAGCAGATACTTAATCTGGAGAATCATGGGATGGTTTTATTTTAAATGACTATACAGATGATTTTAAGGGAATAACTTGTTATGACAACCTGGTAAATAATTTAAAAAAATTATTAGCCCAGTGAGTAGACAAGTTGATGATTTCTGAGCTGTTTTATAACTGTTCTAACTTGATATTCCTAGACTTTAAGTTTTATAATTTCCTTTTGCTTGCCATTTCAGTTAAGGAACAGAATAAAAAGTATAAATACACCATGAAACCCTAAATCACACAGAAGATCCTAAATCACAACATTGTAAGCATCTTCCACAAAATCATGACCACTCCCCTCCACAACACTGAACAACAGTATAAAAAGAGTGATTGAAATAATCATCAAACCAGTACCAGAGATTTGACAAAAACAATTTAAACACAGAGTTAAAAAGCCCACTTCTGAAATATTGCAGAAAATATTTCATTTTATGTCATATTTTGAAGATAACATTCACCAGTGGAGAAACCAAAAGAAATGGGATTTGAAAAATTGCTTTATTTGGAAAATAGATTGTAGTGGGGTGGAAGCAGGGGGAGCCAATTTCTGAAAGAGCTTTTTTTCCAATTGAACACATTCCTGAGAACAAACAGAAATAGAGGAGCCTGTTTAATATTTCTTGAGTCTTCCACCTCTACTGATCAAACTTGACCTGCTATAAAATGTGTCAGGCTGAATTGGCACACAAAACTGAAAGGAATATTACATTGTTGTTGTTTTTTAACCATTTGTCCTTCAATGTTCACAGGAGTTATACTCAGGCATTAAAGGAGATATATAATTTTTTAATTTTAAGCAGTTTATAAAGAGTGTTCCAAAAGTCTTGGTGTAGTTTTAAACTTTAGTAGCTTAGGACTTTTGGGACACTCTGTATTTCATGTTACATATGACATCCTTATTATGCTCAAAA